TTTGTAGATAAGCATTGTCATACATTTTGCATTTCAGCAAACTGCAATGAATAGCCAGAGGAGTCTATGCTTCCACTCTCTAATGCCTAGCTCTTATTACACAATGATAGTACACTTAAGGCCTAACTGCACTCAGTTCTGCTTGGAGCTGACTGCTAAAATCCTCCAGCTATTACATAACTATAATTTTATCTTCCTTATTTTGAGTAGGCCTTCCTATGTAATCTTTTGAAACCTATTCCCTCCCCTAAATGCTATTTTGCTGTTTCATGTTCCCTGACCCCATTGCTCCACCTGTGATATTACAACTACCATGCAGGCCCTCTTTGTATGAAAACCCTATCTGAGTCCAACTTACTAGCAGTTCTTGGCCTTCAACCAGAGAACATATCCATCGCTCATCTGGGCCACCAGCCTGCCCCATGGGGTGGATGGCTGGGACAGAATGAAACTCAATCCTTGAATGAATTGCTGTCCATCTGTCCTTCCCCTTCTCTGCTGTGTTTGACTGTCCCATCCTAATGTTGCTTCATGCCATTCACCAGAACTCTGATTTAAATTTCTATGACATACAGTATTCCATTGATTTCTTAAAACCAAGATGGAGTTAATTGGATTCAAAGTTAATTAAATAATATTTCAGAAGTACATGAAGACTTATAAAACCGATATACAGTGAACTATAAAGGACCAGGAAAAATACATATGCTTTACAAAAAAATACCAAATGCTATATAATTGAAATGATCTTTTAAAAAGTAGTATACTCAATTTACAAATCCCATTTTCCTATTTTGTTAACACGTGTTTTCAGAGATATAAATTTTTCTCCCCTCTGGGGATTATTTTAAGCATATCCTAGTATATTGTCTCACTGCTATTATTCTTTCTCATATACTTTTAAAAATTTGATAAATAATTGTTTTATCATAATCTTAATAGCCATCACCATGATGAATATTTCCACATACAAAGGACAGAGGATTGCATATGAAACTGTGACTTTTTTTTTTTTAGTGGTGGAGCAGGAATAGCTTGAGTCCATTTCAAGATGGCTCCTGAGCTATCCCTTTTTATATAAAAAGGGTCCCATCTCTGGGACGTTGGTAATGCTTCAGTTTTCAACTCCACAGGGTTCTAGGGTAATGATCAGCTTAATGGGATCTAGGGATCAGGCCTCCCTACTTCTTTTCACCACTCAGGAGGCAATGTCTATTTCTTATAGGGACCAGAGTGCTACCCCAAACCCCAGGACTTTCACATGGGCTGACCTGAACCTTCTTATCATAGTTTTAGAAACAAGGAGATCTTCCCAACAATTTAGGAAGGAGTGAAGGAAGGAAAGAAGGAAACAAGCATTTACTAAGCCTTTTTTTCATTATTATTATTTTTTTATTTTGGGAAGCAATTGAGGGGAAGTGACTTGCTCAGAGTCACACAGCCAGTAAGTGTATGAGTCTGGATTTGAATTCAGGTACTCCTGACTTCAGGACCAGGGCTCTATTCTAGTTGTCCCTGACCTTTTTTGTTTTTTAAAGAACAGCTTATGTTCTTGTTTTTATATATATATATATATATATATATATATTTATAAAATATACACCAATTTAAACTTATACTACTTCTCTTGCTTTTATTCCTTCTGAAATTTCTTCCGCTCTTTCTCTTCTGTGTATTTTTTTACCTGTTTTGTTGATAGTCTTTTCTTTCTATGCTTCTCTTTTATTACATCATTGGCACTACCTCCACTTTGCTCCAAAACACCTCCTCAGAAAAGTTCTTTCTCATAATAAATAATAATAGTATTAATACCTGGAATTTATATAGTATTTAAAGATCTGCAAAGCACTTCACAACAACCCTGGAAGGACAGAGAAAGCCATTAAGTGGCTTGCCCTGGACCACACAACTACTAAGCGTCTGGGGCAGGATTTGAATTTAGGACAGCCCTACTCCCAAGTCTACACTCTATCTACTATGACACTTAGCTTCCTTGAAAGAAGTAAATTCAAGGAAAACAAAACATTGTATTGAATTGGTCAAGCCTAAAAAATATATGTCACTCCCTAGTAATTTATCACAAATGCAAGATTTTCCACCCCAATAATTGCCCTAATTACTCCTATACACTCAACACAAAATTCTATCAGACACATCATAGGTATTCCAGTATACCTTGTTTGAACAAATCTATGGTATGTATTAGTGACTGACATAAACAACGAGGAACCAAAAACGTGAATTTGAGTGGACCTAAAACAAGACCTGTGTGAGTGGACCCAAAACATAAATATGCTGATCGGATTCCAGGACCTCGGGAACCCAAAATTCCTTGTAGTCATCTCCAAGATTTCTGGAAAGTTACTGATGTCAAGGCCTTATTCTGGGTTCAAACAATAGCTAATCCCATAAAGTGAGATTTTAAAAGTATGAAAAATAAAGCATTTTTCACATTCCAGAGGAAGAGGTCACCTCCATGAGAGCGGCTTGCCTCTAAATTACTATATACCCTCTCTCCAGGCCTCTTCCCCTCCCTAAACAGCTAATCTCTCCCAGCTATACCTTCTCCAACTCCACCTTCTTGGGCTTTAGGGCCTCAGATAACTTTATGTGTTGTCAGTCCCATTACCTGCCCTGAGTGCCACACTGCTAAGCTGGCTTGAGGTAAGGGGACAGCAATCCAAAGAGACTTATTTTTCTAATTTTGCATTGATATTTTCTTTTTTACCACACTGTCATCACAATTGTATCCCACTTATCTCTACCTCTCCCTCTTAAAGATACGTGTAACCCAGAAATTACACGGTCCACATGCCTCACAGAGCTTGGTTAATGCTGAAAGAACAGATGATACATGAACTTTGGAAGTCTGAAAACCTTCAGACAAGTTGCAGGTCTTTTGATCTGACATTCTTTCAAAAGCCACGATGATTATTAGAAGGTCAATGCCACAAGGTTTGCACCAGCTATTTAGCCCCATGAAGGAATTACTGGAAGAGTGCTGTAGTTAGGAACCTAAGTCAAATTGACCAATCGTTGGGGGAAATCCTTAGGTAGGGCATCTTCACCAGGGGCGCGGGACGACTTAGGCCCCGGCAACTGGGCCTCCTGAAAGAAACACCAATGAAAATCTACCCCAAGAAAAAGTCGGAAGGGGGCCCTTCCAGGTACCGTCAACTAGGGACACCGCAGTGAAACTTCAATGTATTGGCTCACGGAGAGCCGTTTTCCAGAGTGAGCAGGCCGTGCCCCTCCGGAGCACCCCCCCTCCTCCCTGCCCCTGTGCTTAAGAAAGTGAAAGAGAAAACGTTAATGATGGAGATTAAACTTAAAAATGTCAGGAGTCCTGGACAGAGTGGGGAGGGAGGGGAGGGAAGCTCATCCTGATCTCCTGCTGCCCTGCCCTGCCCTCCCCCACCCCTTCCCCCCATCAGCCTCCGTTTCCCACTCAAAAAAGACTTTTTGCCTATTTTAGAAATTTCCCTTCGGGTTTCTCTATCAACGCTGTTCTGCGCGCCCTGGTTGGATGTAAAGAAGGTCTCCGAGAGCAGCAGGATGTGCTTCGGTTTGTTTTGCCGCCTTTTAAAATTTTTAAATCTTCCTTTCCCTTATCCCAGAGAGCGCCTTTCCCCCACCCTCTCGGCCGGCCTGCGAGAGAGCGCCTAGAATCTTGCGCTGGCAAGCGATTTCCAGAACCGAACTGAGTGGCTGCAGCTGCCCGAACCGCTCATGAGTTTCGGTTTTGTCCAGGCCGTTGTGTCGCCCGCCCCGGCGTGGTCCGGTGTACCCGAAGCTCTCGGCGAGATTCCAGTTGGGGAAGGGGGTGAGAAGCAAGTCCCAAGGGAAGGGAGGGAGAGGGGGTTGCAGAGCCGAGCCTGGGCAGCGAGCTCTAGCAGAACCCAGGTGTGTCGGAATCTCCCTCCGGCGCAGCCCAGGAAGAGCAGGAGGCCAAGGGTGCCGAGGCTTTCGCGGGCAACCACGCGAGTTACAGGTAGCTTGAGGGCTAGCTAGGTGCCTTTAAGGCTCCTTCTTGTGCGCGTGGAAAAGCTTTTCTGCTGCCGCAGCCCCGGTTTGAAAGCCTGAGGCCCCGGGGGCTGGCTAGCTGAGTGGTGGCCCAAAAGACCGAAGCAAGGAGGCCTAGGCAGCAGTCATCACCGCCGGGGAGCCGAAGCCGCGGCCTCAGCTGCTCGGATGGGCAGTTGACTGGCTTCCCTCCCACACCGCCCCGCCCCGCCCGGGCCTCGGGAGGCAACTCGAGTGCATCTGGCGCGTCAGCTCTCTCGCAGAAAGAAGTAGGTGGCTCTTAAAAGAGCCGTTTGTGTATTGGGACGTCAGGCACCCACAGATCTCCAGCTTACTTGGAGCTGGTGTACTTGGTGACGGCCTTGGTGCCCTCGGACACGGCGTGCTTGGCCAGTTCCCCGGGCAGCAGCAGGCGCACGGCCGTCTGGATCTCCCGGGACGTGATGGTGGAGCGCTTGTTGTAATGCGCCAGGCGGGACGCCTCGCCGGCGATCCGCTCGAAGATGTCGTTGACGAAAGAGTTCATGATGCCCATGGCTTTGGAGGAGATGCCAGTGTCAGGGTGGACCTGCTTCAGCACCTTGTACACGTAGATGGAGTAACTCTCCTTGCGGCTACGCTTGCGCTTTTTGCCGTCTTTCTTCTGGGCCTTGGTGACGGCCTTCTTGGAGCCCTTCTTGGGAGCGGGCGCGGACTTGGCGGGTTCAGGCATAGCTGCAGACTGCTTCACCAGACCAACGCGAGCAGAAGACGAAATGAAGAGGCCAGCCTTGACTTCAGACTATTTGTAGGGCTTCTATTCAAATGAGAGATGACGGAGCCCTCTTTCTGATTGGACGGGGCCTGGTAAATCCGCCCCGGGTGGGAAGGGCATATGTAAATGACAAGATCCCGAATCTGCTTCTCCATTGGCTGGTTCATTCGAAGACGTTTGGAACCAATCGGACGGCGCCGTTTAGCCTGCCGCCTAACAGAATAATAGGTTCGCTCTGGAGTGGAAGGCACTCCACCTCTCTCACCTTGCTCGTCCTGAGAAAGTCGCCGTTTGCTTTCTTCTTTCTCCACCATGTCTGGCCGCGGCAAGCAAGGAGGCAAAGCCCGTGCCAAGGCGAAGTCCCGCTCTTCCCGGGCTGGTCTGCAGTTCCCGGTGGGCCGAGTGCACCGCCTGCTCCGCAAAGGCAACTACTCTGAGCGCGTAGGCGCCGGCGCGCCGGTGTACTTGGCCGCCGTCCTCGAGTACCTGACAGCCGAGATCCTGGAGCTGGCGGGCAACGCGGCTCGGGACAACAAGAAGACTCGCATCATCCCTCGCCACCTTCAGCTGGCCATCCGCAATGACGAGGAACTCAACAAGCTGTTGGGCAAGGTGACCATTGCCCAGGGCGGCGTCCTGCCCAACATCCAGGCCGTGCTGCTGCCCAAGAAGACCGAGAGCCACCACAAAGCCAAGGGCAAGTAAGCCAGCACGCTGCTGTGACGGGACAGTCCTGGAAACGAGGGACTTGTCTACCACGCAGAAACCAAAGGCTCTTTTCAGAGCCACCCACACTTTCGAGCAAAAGAGCTGACACGCGGCGGGTGTGCCCCGGCAAAATCCGGGAGGCTTGTGGGCGCCAATACTTTTTTTCTTGGCTTGACAACCTCGTAGTTTCGGGGAGGAAAGTCGCAATCCTGTAGTGTGTGAAGTTGCTCAGTCACCAAGCATTGATTTAACAAACCGGGACCTTTTAGTTACAATGGAGGCTAGGCTACCTCTGTCCCTAGACAGCACAGAACTTGAGACCAGAAGGCACTTATTGGGAAGAAGGAAGACTTTGGAACGATCCGGCCTTTCAGACGGGTCCAATTCAGTCAGGCTAACTTTTAGCATACAAGGGGAGTGGGAGTTCTATACCGGCATACAGGCTCGCCAAATTGCAATGAAGCAGCTTGAAACGCTGGGTCTCTCCTGGTTCTCTTCCTACCGGGTCGTTGACTCTTCCTCAGTTTCCCTTGTGCTGCTGGGCAAGGGGTCATCTACTTCCGGACCTCTAAGCTTGAATGTCTCTCCCAGACGGTCCTGGGCGTGTCCCCCGCTCTAGTCTACGCTCATCATCTCCCTTAACACAGGGAACTAGCACACCTACACAATCCAGCCTTCATCTCTTTGCCTGGGACTCCTAACTTGCTCACTCCCGGTCCCTAAGGCTTCGCCGATGACAACGCTGCCAACTCTGGTCTCCCAGCCCCAGCCCACTCTCGCCCTCTCCAGATGTCTCCATTTTCGCGGAGAGAGCCACCGTTTCGCTCCTTTGTCGTTTCCCCCCACCCCAGTCACGGAGGTTCCTGATAACCTCTTTTCCCTCTCCTTTAAGAAACGCCGCGCGTCCAAATTGATTGCCTCAAAATATCACCGCAAATAACATCTCTGTCCTCTGTGGTCCTGCTTCCCGCCTCTCCCATCCATCCTCCGAACAGCTTGGGAAATAATCTTGCTAAAGCCCACTAGGCCACCCGGTCCCCGAACCTTCAACAGTTTCCCTTTTCTGCCTCTTGCCTAAAAAGAGACAGACTTCTTGGTAGTCCACCTCTTTCGGGTCTCTTTGGTGTTCGCGCAGGTCGTTCTACAGAATCTTTATCTCCATCTGAAGCTTGTACAAGCTGTATCCCTCGGGTTCCCGCCTCCTCCCGCTGTAGAAGCCGAAAGTGCAAGAAACGCTTTATTTTTAAAATTTTATTTATTATTATTTGGTTTTTGCAATGCCAACGTGTAACCAAAGAGCAGCTCCCTGGTAAATAAGCAGAGGACCGACCTGATGATGAGGCTCCCTGAATTTAGCTGGACCAGCAGGGCGGACAGGAAACAAACACATCATCAGGTTGGGTGGGACCTACTAGAGCCTTCATCTCTCATATGACACCCCACCACCACCAGCAAAACCAACGAAAACTTCAATTTTTTAGGGTCACCTGCGCAGCCAAAAGTGAGCCATAGGAGTACAATAATCTAAAAAAAAAGTTTGATGTGTAGAGAGTATTTTTTGATGTTAAGAAAATCAGGGTTCGGAATATGAAGATCTCGGGAAGTGCGCGCGAGGCGGGGGGGGGGGCGGGGGAGGGCGGAGAAGGGGGGGGAGGCCGAATTGGAGGGAGAGAAAAGGCAGAGAGAGACTCAGCTAGAAGGCCTGGAGTTAAAGGTACTCTCAGGGTCTTCCAAGCCGGTGAACGGGCTCCATACAGGTGGCGGGAATAGAGTCCATAGAATATTCTAAAAGTCAAAGTCTAACGCAAACTAAAAGAGAGGACTCGGAGACAAACGGACGGAGAGATAAAAGAGAAGTCTGTGATCCCGAAAAAACAAATCCCAAGCTGGAAAGGGCGAAAATTATAATTAAAACACTTGAACGCGTGCCCGCGGTACAAAGACTGAGTTAGGAAGGGGGCTAGAGGAAATGAGGGGTCCCGGGAAGGGGGAAAAAGAAGAACAAAGGCAAGCGAGTAAACTGAGCCCAGAGAAGGAAGTGAAAGAGAGGGGCGGGATGAGGTTATCCAATGAAATTGCTCGGCATTTCGAGGGCGGGCTAGGGTTGACTTTCCACCAATTCATTCGGGCGCAGGGCTTTTGAACGTTCCAATCAGAACGTTCTCGTCGATATAAATAGAGGCGAGGGCGGTGGGGTTTTTCCGTAGTCGTTTGGTTGTTGGGGAAGTGGAGTTCCCTGCTGTGTGATCATGGCTCGTACGAAGCAGACCGCTCGTAAGTCTACCGGTGGCAAGGCGCCCCG